TGGGAAGTCCCTTTTTGCACAGTTTTTTAGATGCATTTCTGACCAAAATGTCAACTCTGTACTACCAGTATAGAATTTTCTAAATCACAAAGTAAAACCGCTCAAATTTCAAGACCCTTGACATACAATGTGAGCTAACAAGATCTTTGATAATGACACAGAGGTACATCATATTTTCTGTTGCATATTATGACATATTTTAAAGAATAAACACAGCATTTTCAAGGAGGTGCTTCCTGCAACTCACTGTCTAAGAGAGGAGAGGGAAGAGGAAATTTGTTTTTCAAGCTGTGCACAGTTTTTAAGGAAGGTCCTGAAATATTTATTACTATAGTCAACTCCCAACAGGAGCATGATACTTGCTTGATAAAAAGAACGTATGCCACCCTTCCTATCCCCCTCTCTCAAACACAATATAATTAGTTCAGGTCAATGCCCAGCCCTTGAGTGCTCCATTGCTTCTGTACCCCTAAGGAAGTCTTTAGTTGCCTCTTTTCCAGAGCCTTTTGAACCCCTATTCTTCTCCAACACAGCCCAAAATGGAAAGCTTCCAAAAGGAAAATCAATTTTCCAGGAGTTGTTTGAAGGTGAAAGCAGGCTGCTATATGTGCTCTATATACACATACACAAAACCAAAAACCAACCGAACAAAAAACAACAAAACCCAGAACAAACAAGAGGCCTGCAAAAAATCCACACAACAGCAGCATCATCTTACCTGGAGGAAACTTAAGAACTGTGGACCCTATCTTTATTCATATAAAAATGAAATAAAAGGTGACAGCCAAAACTATTCACTCACTCTCTCCTCATATCTGCCACGCTGGCAGGTTTAATCTCAGTTCCTTAGATATCTCTGTGCTGTTTACTGGTGAAAGACATACAGATAAACCCAAGAGCTGCCTGAGAAAAAGTGTTTGCCTTGTATTCCTTTTTACCAACTAGGTTTACCAAAGCATCAGAGCAGCAAAACCTGTTCCAATGTGAATTGCACTCTTTCATATAGTTTTAGTTAAAGTAGTACTGGAGGAAAACAACCGATTCCCCCCCTCCCACTCTCAAAACCCATTCCAGCAGGAAGCCAGTGCTACAGGGACAGAGACTAAAAAGCAGTTTCCCATGACAGTGCAAAGAGAAAAGCACACTATTATCTTCAGTAAGTTCATACCATGTTTCTCTGTTTTTTTCTTTAGCTTCTCTTTCGTATTTTTCAAGTGTTCTTTTGTCAACCATTCCTGTCAAATACCTAAGAAGGGGAAGGAAAAAGAAAAAAAAGTGCAATTTTACGTAAGCAGAAACATAGTTCCAGATAGTTAAATATTTATACAATTCCTACAGCTTATTTTGAAAAACTGGAACAGCCTGATGCAAGCAGCAGTGGAATTTTTTTCTCCACAAGAAGCCACACCATTATGTGATATGTAAAAGTACACCAGTACCACTTTAACAGAACTATGAGGTATGTCTTTTTTTAAGCCTAATTGTAACACATTATCCAGAGGCAAGTTTTGAAAAGGAACTGTATCTGTTAAGTCCACTGCTGAGACTAATCCAATATTTCAAAATTAAGTAAAAATTATAACAGGATAATTTTAGAATTTTTCACACCTTCCCCTCCTTTTCCTACATCGGTAGGAACATTAAAAATAGGCATCTCCTTGTACAGGAAAACACTCAGATATCAGATAATAAAATGCTAATTTGCTCTAGTAGGAACTACAAGGTTAAATGTAGCATGACAATTCCAACATTCCTGTTTGGTCAAAACAAAACAAGATGAAAATGCCAAGACAAAGACCTCCCACTTTTGCTGGGAATATTATTTTAAAATCATAGAAATACTTTGCATCAGCAGGATAGCATTTATTTCTTCGTGTACTACTTTCTATTTCTTGTTTTTTTACAAACTGTAAGATCCAGCTGCATTTATTTACTTTTGTCTCATAAAAATATTGCCATCTCCAGATACTGTTTCTAAAATAGACTTAAAAGATTGACTGTTATAATTTCACATTATAAAATCAAATAATGCCTCACAATGTTAGCACCACAGAATAAGGATATTCAAATTTTTCTTTTTTATTTTCACCAAAAGGACAAAGTTTCACAAAGGGTATAAAGCAGTTTCAAATTGCATTTTAAAATGACAAAGAAAAACAGAGTCATGTTCAAAGAAAGGCACTCAGGTTTTTTCCAATTTAATAATGTACGCTTTTGCACAGTTGTTTCCATTAAGTATGTGAAAATCCTATAGGGATAAAATTCCATCTGCTGGAATTAAGAAATTCCAAAGACAATAAGTAACTAAATTGACAGGGAGAGTAACATTTATGATAAATTAATCTATGCTCAGTAAAGCCATAAAGATAATACTACTAATTTTACTTAATGTATTTTTAATTCACAAGCATAGCAATTCTAACAATTTTTATTTATGTTTCCTTACATTATTTGTCCTCCAATAGTTGACTTGCCAGCATCTAAAATAAAAAAAAAGTTATTCACAATTTAATATAAAATCCTAGAAAAAAAAGAAAACTATTATGAACAAGGTCATTTGATTTATTTCCAAAGATATATTTTTTAATTTTAATCTAAGTTTTTCAAAGCATC